GGGGGGGGAGCACCGCGTTTGTGATTTACGGTACATATATATATATACATCGACCGCTCGGGGTAGCATCTCGAGTAGCAAACAAAGGATAAATAAATAAATAAACGGCATATCGCGTCGTCAGTCGTCGCAGGGGTAGAAACTGTTTCCCACACGATTGTTATAATACGCATTGTGTAAGCGATGGTAAAATGTTTCCTTCTTTCTCGATAATGTAAAGTTACCGGCATTCGTCTTTGAATGTAAGCAACATAAACGCGCGTGTACGGCGCAAGCAAGCAAGTAAATAAGTAAGTAAATAAGTAAGCAGGCAAGCAAGCAAGCAACGTGCGAAGTATGCGCGCGGCACTCGAGAGTGCGTGTGGGGCTGTGTTTCGTGATGCGTGTGTGTGCTCTGACGGGTGAGAATGCGGAGTTTTGGCTATCAAATAGCGAAATTTTATATGAATGCGAGCGTATGTTGATGAAGACATGTCTTTCTATATACATATGTATCTGTTATACTATATTTATTTACTACGTATGCAGCGAACGTGTGTGTGCCGATCGATCACCAAACTAGGAGTCGGATCCGTGGTCTGAGAAATTGTGTGCAATCATTCGCTCTCTCTCTCTGCTCGCATGAATTACGCGAATCTCTTTCTCTCTGTCTACCTTCCCCTTTATCTCCCGTCACGTATTCTCGTTGCACTCGGAGGAACGGGAAGCGTGATCGGAGGCGGCAATAGCAATTCGCAAGTCCAGAGAGATCATTGTCTCGATAGTGGTTCTCTTTATTTCGTTTTTCTTATGGATGGATAGTGGTCTTGTTTTCATGAACGCACGCAGATCCGGCTTCTATAAGACTGCGTTTTTCGTTGACATACATATACATATTGACAAAGAGGCTGCTGCTGCTGCGCTGCTGCTGCTGCAATATGGTTCGTAATTCGACGATAACTTGTTGCACACCAAAGTGTATTTCCAATAACTAGATGGACTTATTTCTTATAGTAGTTATTATGTAAAGAAAAGGAAGAAAGAAAGAAAAGGGTGTAAAGAAACGCAAACGTACCGTCGTTTGTCTCTCGTCGTTGGTCGGCACCGGTCGGCCGACGACGCAATTAAGCATATCCACGACTAAGTCACCGCAATTATGCCAAAGAGAGGCGAAAGGGAGCGCGGAAACAGAGTCTGACTAATTGTGAGGAGAGTAGATTGGTCCGACGTACAAAATAGAATCTCTCGAAACACGCGAAACTTCGGAGGCTGCGTTCGAGAACACAACGACGCGTTGAGCTTATTCTCCGTTCGCCGAGAACGTTTGTGCAATTGGTCAGGGAGCAACTCGACGAGAAAAAGAGCCTATGCGTTGGTGTTCCCAAAGCGAAAGTCGCAGCACCTCGCGGATACTTTGCGTTGTTACTTTGATTTTCTTATATTCCGTACACTTCGCTATGATGCGTTCTATCGCAGCCGTAGTTGCATGCATCATCGGTAGACCATAGAATATTGAATTAAAGCAAGACGAAAAGGCTCGTTTTTGTTCGGAAAAGCAAAGCAGACATCATCTCTTAGAATTTTTTGAGACGAGAAAACCGACGATGCTGATTAAAATTACCTCATATGACGGGGGTACAGAAAAGATTGAGTTTACATTAGAAAAACACATGGTATCGCAGTCAGCCAGTAAGAACTATTGGTTTTTACATAGTATATCAATAATTTTTCACATTTTTGTAATTTTTTCTGTACGGGACTAACATAATAACATTACATCAATATTATAATTCCCAATTCATGTAAGTGTAACGTAACACGTGGTGTATGTAACAATTACATTGCTGAGCGAGAAATTGTAATATTGATGTAATGTTGTTAGTTGGTGTTTTTTGAACATTCGAAAGACAGGTCCGTACGCTATATGTATTGATGATATATACTGAATGATATAACGGAAGTAATTGATTTAAGTAAAATTTATTTAATCTAGATAAAAATTTGCTAAGAAGTGTGGAAGATTAATTCACTTGAATCTAAAACTTTTTCTACGCAAGAACTTGCTGTTACGTCTGATATTTACGTTATTAAATATAGCATGTGACATAATTCTAACCAGCACCGTCCGATTCCTCGCCTCGAAAGCTATAAAAAACGATGTCTACTTTATTTTCCCCGAGCACAGCAAAAACAGGCTTTTTCGCATGACATCCTTCTTTCTTCAATTCATTTTAAAGACTTGTGCTCTTCGCGAAATAAAGGCGGACTTCGGTGCAACAGTTGCTGCGACTAACGTTACCATCGTCTCACTCTGGCATTCTTCTTCCGAGTCCACCGTTTGTGCTACGTTCGCTTCCTGTGTCGACGATTAACTGAGATAAATTAAAATAACTGAATCGATTGAAATAATTGGCGAGAGGAGATCCTAAGGAGATATGTGTACTCTCTCGAACGCAGTCGAGCACACGGATGACGAAGGCGGAAAAGGAGGAAAAATTACAGATTTCGTTTCCGGATCTCATGATACTCTCTCGCGCCATATCTATACCATAAACCGTGTACACGTTTCCGCACCGAATTCGACCGTAAGAATGATAAACGATGTAAAATGCGCACCGTCGTCGATCCGGATTTCCTTTTTAACACGGATCGCTTAATGATATTCGTACACCAAACGCTAACCGCTGTGTCTGCACATTTTAAGCTCGTCGTCGCTTGTCAGTATTGCTCTTCTGTATTCTCGCATAATTCTAACTCATGACAGCAATTATTAAAGTTTTTACAAGTGTGAGAGACTCGTCGTATCACTTCGCCCTTTATCTCTTCCCCCTTTCTCTTCTACTCTCACTTTCCTTTTATTATTCTCTTTTCAAGTATTTCCCAGCGTTTGTTCTTGCAGCGCATCCTCTCAAAAGTTCCTCCCTAACGAAACACCGTCGTCCACCGCGGCGAATTCGTAGGGTCGCACAGTCACCGGTTGTGCCTCCAATACGAAGATCACGTCGTCCAGGAAGTAATACGCCTGGCCCAGATCGCCTTCGCAGAGATACGGCAATTTGCTCCAGGCGAGGCACCGTAAACCCGCAGGAGCGAAGACCCGGTCGATGAGTCCGATTATCTGCGCTTCAAGCCCGTTCCCCCGCACCGGTAAGTATTCCGAGGGCTTGTGGTTTCCCCTCTCGCCGACCTCAACATAGGGGCTGAACGGCAACACCAGGGCGACCACCAGTCTACCGCCGGGAGCTAACGAGGTCCTTAGCAGGTTCAGCAAGGTATTCGGCCGGTCGCAGCGGTCCAACAAGTTCAAACAGAGGATGACGTTGAAGGGCCCGGCTTCCTGATGCCACCTCTCCACATCGAGCACCCTGAAATCGTATGAGAATGTGTGAGGAGAGTGCGTCTCGCCGATCGAGAGGTGATCTCTAGGTTTGTTTTCGGTTGGTGAGCTGAACTAGCGCAAGCCGGAACTGATGAGTGTAAGCATGCAGCCAAGGAATAAGGAACGCTCTGGTGCAACAATAATATGACGTCTCGCGTGTTATATTTGTAGAATTGTACAGTTATTATCTTCAACGGCAACTGGTGACGGTTCTAACTTGTATCTGATAGAGAACAAACTTTTTGTCTTTTTCTTTCTTTTCAGCGGCGCCCGGCCGCCCAAGACCGGGATTTCGGAGCGGATCGCGCGGCCTCAGAGATGCAAATCGAAAGCGGAGCCTTATCCGTCGGTTAATTTTACGCGGCCGGAGCAGCCGGAGGGTGCTGCTCGTCGGAGATCGTTCGAGAGTTCTATAAAACGTCTGTTACGAGTGCGTCGCACCCTGCGCGCCTTCGCCCGGTCACTCGTTCGCGTTCATTTAAAATTCGAGCTGCGACTCGCCCCGAGAGCGTCCTCTCTCTCTCTCACTCTCGCTCCATCTCCTTCTCTCTCTTTCTCGATGATGCCGAGGGCTGGTGGCTTGGTGTCCGCGCTCCGGGTGTAAAACCACCGTAAACTTCTACTCCAATCAATTCGGCGCAATAAACTTGTTAGTGGCGCACCGTGCAGGATATTACGTATCGACACGAGCGTCGACGAGTGCCGCTTACGACGTATATATGCGCACACGTCGTCGGCTACGGCGTGAACGCGCCGGATCGGCCCCCTTCCGATCAATTATCTTATCTCACTTTATAATGAACCCCACGTTTTTAAGATAACCATAATAACGACATGCCGGCTCCCTCCGGTGGGCCCTCCCCGACTCGTCCGGGGCGCGCGGCATAATTGCGCGGGTTTATATTCGTTTTATAAATTGTATCCTTTTTGAATTGTAACTTTTCCTTTTTCTATTTATGTTTACATGCGTTGAAGCAGAAAATGACAATGATACGAAATTATTTAGCTATTGTTGAAGAAACATAGATTATATTTTAATTTTTTACAAATCAACAGTATCCTGTACATTACGAAAGCCTAAAGAAATATCAAATTCCCTTTCGACCGTTATTTAATATATGATGCAAATTAAAGTTTTTATTTTAATTGTTACATTTACGATCAACGTCATGAAATTAACTAGAATTGACGGTTCAGATCTAGGATACAATTGTTGTGTTATCGGGGATCCATATTGGGCGAATGCAAACGGCCGTATTGATTTCTCATTGGGGAACCGATTCGCGTTATATTACGTTAATTTACATAAATTCGATGTATTCTTCCGTGCACACTCCTCCTTGGCCCCCTCTCTTTTTCTCTCGATTTGTGTGATCGCACGCGTGAAATTTATCGGTGCCGCCGCTATTTGCGGTACGACGAGGTGTTTTCACACGAGAACGACGTCTCGGGACGAGCGAATAGTTTTCGAATCACAAACGAACGAGAGAGTTAGAAGAAGCCGCAGGAAAAGCAGGGCGCTTTAAAACTGACGAGAATAAAGTACGCGGCCGCGAGCGCGCGCGCGAATCCGCGCGACCGAGTGTGCGTGTCGCGCCGTTACGAGAAAATGCAAATATAGGAGCGTTCAAGAAGCGGAGGATTCCACCGCCCACCTTTGGCCGCTCGTATTCGATTCGAAGAATGTAATCTGTTTCGCGTTCTCGCATATGTGACTCTGCGCTCGCAAGGGAGCTTTGTAGTTGAAAAATTCCCGCCCAGTCGGTAGGGATTCCCGGGATGTTCAGATCGAATAGCCTTTGCATACGCATGCACAATGATTGCAATAATGGTCGCTCCTTCGTATACTGAGAGGAAAGGATACAGTTAGAGTAACTATAATAATCTCACTATATTTTATAATAAATTTCTATGTTCAACTATACATTTATAGTTCTTTATAGTAGAATGGAAATATACAGTATTTATAGTTCTTTTAAGCATGCAAAACATAACAAAGTGAACCCGTATTTGTAATTATTAACGTCATAAACTATAACATTCATTCGTATAACTATATTTTATGGTTGTTATAAACTAAAATGATAATATATATATATATATATTATATAATATATATATATATTATATGCATATTGCTACTATTATTTTTTTATTATTACGAAAAGATACAGCTGGCGCCGAAAATGATTATAATTTTAATATGATTAACATTTCTCTTTTTGTCTCAATGTATCAAGACGACCCACTGTCGATTCCATTGCAATCATCGTACCATTGTAGAGGGAGAACTTTTTTCGGAAAGAGTTAAAGACGAAATTTACTTACGTAAACTTTCTCCTTGCTAGAGCCCATCGCATGGGGGGTGAGATATCCGTGGCGTACACTTTCTCGAAGAGATGCGCCACGTGGGCGGTAGTTGCACCGTCGCCTGCCCCGAGGTCCACTAAGGAATGCCAAGGACCGGTAAAGCCGCTCGCGTCCATTAGCTTTTGGAATTGCTCGCTGGAGAACACGTGCATGGAACCGCGGCCCAGCAGTCTGCGAAGATGCAAAAATAATTTTGATGCGACATCACGTGTTACGGGACGTTCGTTTCCGGCCGGAAGTATCTCTCGGAGTGTCTCATATCATTGACCAACAAATTTCTTATCGTAAATTCTATTCTTTTTTAAATTTACCTTCTTTTATTTATGCTAGTGTGTGAAACAGGAAATGACAATAAAGAAATTGTTTAAGTATAGTTCAAGAAATATAAATTATGTTTTCATTTATATAAATTAATATAATATAAGATACGAAAATGAAATGTTAGAATATATTTTTACTACAACTTCTTATTTTACTTTTATGTTTCAAATTGTCAGAAAAGCTAAAATTCTTTTTCGCTTGTTGTTTGCTATATGATGTAAATTAGAGTTTAGTTTTTATTTTAATTGTTATATTTTTATATATCTACATCACAAATTTAACGGTTTTGAGTCGGTTTAGAGTCAGGATATAATTTTTGTATTGACTAGTCCTGTCACGTGTCTTGCATGGTATCCAATTCCTTCCGGGTCATCGACTACATCAACTTTCGTTCGGCGAGAGTAGAAAAATTGGCGGTGAGATAAAGATCGATAAAGACTGCAGTAAAGATCGACGGATGGGAACGGACGTGACAGGATAACAAGGATTAACGGAGCGGCAGGAGGAGGATTATGCAGACCCTCGCGCGCGCGCTCTGTGCCTGGCCGTGATACTTTAAGCTGAAACTTACTTGAGGGGGCTAAGACACAAGTCGCGTAACAATGTAATGCGATATAGGCTCGCGCGCTCAGATGATGGCCATGCTACTGTCGTTATCATTAGCCGCTTTTACTGCATATTATCGGTCGATAATGCATCTTCATTTCGCCATGAAACTTTACGAGCTCGCCCCGGCTTAATTAGGTTCGTTACGAGGCGCATAATCGCCGCATATCCGCATGTCTCCGTTTACATTCTCCCATATAACTCGCTGAGAAACGTCGCGTCCTGTGTATTCCGAGAGCGAGAAGCGAGTCCGAAATTATCGGGCTTGACAGGACGATGGGCTATCGCTGCGATCGGTAAAGTAAGTTCCGCAAACTGCGGAACGAGGTTGACTCCCGCCGGAAACACGATTGTACGACGATTTTCCTCGAAAGTTAACGCAAAAAGTTTCGCTTTCGCTTTGTGCAATTTGTATTTCTCCAAATAGAAATCGCGCTCTCGAATGAAAAGCGGTCAGCTTGTATGCCGAGGATTCGTATGTTAACTCCTTTTATGCGAATTTTGCACGATGCTCCGCAAATTTTGATTGAAATATATACGACATTATTATTGATGAACATTACCAAAAATCTCTAGAACTTGTAAATGAGAGCGTTTTCCAACTGTTTTTGTAATATTAAATATTTTAATAATATTTAATTTATATTATTTTTATTTTCTTATGTACTATTATGTATTATTATTTTTAATTTAGTTTTGGTTATTATTTTATATTTTTCTTCAGAGGGAAGGCAAAGCATTGATAAGAACTGCAAAGCTGATGATGCGTTTTTTTATCGTTCATGCATTGTGGTATAAATGTACTCGTACATATTATGAGTCAAAAGTAAACTTGCCAGATATATAGGGTGTTATATGACATATTGTATAAACTTAAGGAAAATGTTTCGGATATAAATGAAAAATAATAAATAATAAATAGAATAATAATAAATAGAAAATATCCTATAAACATGGGTTCAATTTGAAATGGGTTCAATTTGAATATCCATCTACAAATGTTTAAAGTAAGATTATTGGGTCCCTTAACTCTAAACGGTATTAACGTAATTACCCTAAACGGTACTTGGATCTTATGGATCTTTTACGCAGCCCGATTCGAAATGAGTTAATTTGAACAATTTATATAATCATGATGTTTTCTTTCTTACTTACTATTTGTAATAAAAAAAAAATGTTTTAAAATATCGTGCTATCATTTATAAACTTTAAATACCTATAGATGAATAAATGTTTCGAATTGAATCCATACTTATAGGACATTTCCTACTTCATTACATCAGAAATATATCCTTTAAATTTGTACAATATGTAACACTCTATATTTCACGATCGGTATGCGTCCAATAAATATATTATCACTATTATATTATATTATTATTATTAATCTATAAAAACATAAATTTCGATAATCCGACCGAATTTATCCACATATACACACACGCACCACACACCTCACTCATCTCTGAAGGAGCATATCTATGAGAGTTTCTAAGCGCTCACAGAAAAAATAACTTTCTGTGGACTCACGGTCTTACTACCGCTCTTTATGCACAGCGGCTTCACATGCATACACACATACATACTTGCACCAAGTCCCGATCTCGCGTCTCTCTTCGCTATCGATCGATCGAATGAGCGCACGAGAAGAAGAAGCGGCTGCATATAGAAATCGAATCCCTGAGGCATATCCTCCCGCGACAGCAGGTTGCCCCGCAGAATTCGTCGATGTCATCCGGGGGGTGGGCGAGAGGGGACCGACGGGGGAGGACGGACGGCTGGCTTCCGCCCCCATTTCTCAAGTTCTCTGCACCGCGCGGAGAGGCATCGCGAGAAGGAAAAAGGGGCGGGTTCATTTGAAAATACCAGAGTCGTCGGCGCGCGTTGCGCGCCCGGCGATCCATCAATGCCGCGGAACGCGGGATTTTGATCGTGAATTCGGCTACCTCCGGCGTTATAAATAAGGCGATGGTGGTCCAGCAGCGGCTGCCCTCCTCCTTCCTCCACCGCCTCCTCCTCTTCTCCACCCGTTCCGATTCCTCGGTCCCTCCCGCCATCCCCCGCGACGCTCCTTTCTCCGCTCGCTTACCCCTTTTCTCCTTCTTTCTTTCCTTCTTCCGCGCCGCCGCTCGCCGCCATGGCCGGTGCCATCAATTAACGAGCACCTCCCCATCTCCATTGAATAATAAACGAAAATAAGAAGGAGACGGAAGAGGGACCAGAGCGTGGCGANTGTTCGTAGTATCGTCCGGCTTCTCTACCTTGTTCCTTCTTCTTTCTGCGGATCCTTAAGTCACCCCTTTCCCCACCCGCTCCGAGTCCCCGACCATCGCGCGTTCTCCGTCCTCCTCGTTCCAGCTGCTCACCACTCACCTTCGTATGTCGCGCATTGCCCCCTCGCTCCTACCCCTATTCCCGTTTTCACTCCTCCTCGTTCCTCTCTCTCCCTCTTTCTCTCACCTACCTGACCTCACCCTCTCGCCCTTACTCTCCTGCCCCTTCGTCCTTCCATCTTCTTCCTTCGCGCGCGCGCGCGTATCCTCTCCTTTTCTGGGCTTGTTTCCATTGTCAACCACCACCACCACCATCGGCACTACTACCACTACCACTGTCTCAACACGGTCACATCGTCGCAGCCTTCGTCGTGGCTCTCCAAGAGGAAGCGAGCGAAAGAGAGGAAGAAAGAGAGAGAGGAGACTACACATGCATACGCGCGTGTGGCCGCGGTGATATATACGCGCGGTCCACAAATCAGGCCCGCAGATCGTAGCGGCTTCGTCGGCGGCGCGAGCGACAATTAATTCGCCGCTTTTGCCCTCAGCGCTGGCCCCCCCTCTCCCAGCTCCCCGGGGCACCATTGTGTACGCGTAGCCGCTCGTATGCAACCCCCTTCTTCCCTCTCTGTTCAACGCGATTCTGAATTTCCTCCCGCGTCTCTCTCTCTCTCTTTCTTCCAAGGATCTATCTCGACGCGTTCTGTTTCATCGGGCCGCTACGGGTCCCTTTTTGCCTCGTCCGTACCCGGGGAAGGGAGTGAGACGAGCTGGCCGGAGGAGCCGTAAAAGCACGGCTTTAATTCGGACCCGGCGTCATGCGGTCTAGCAACGCGGCCGCGTCGTCGCGGCTCTTGAAAAGTCGAGGAGCTGCGCAGCGTGCATCCGTTCATGTAATAACGGGGCAATTTTATCTGCACGGGGTGGTCAGCGTTTATCGCGGCGATAGTTAGAATCGGCAACTCGGCGCGGATACCGCGGAATCGCGGAGGAAGTTCCTTGAAATCGCGAGAGGGACGAACCGATTGTTATTATTACGTTCGTTCGTTACACATACGGAAAGTAAGATTACGGATGTGACGTGACGATTTTTCGAAAACTAACTATCAGTACCGAAGTAACGTATGAACGTCACGCGATGTGACGGGGGAAGGGAGAGACGTCGGGTGTGGACGTCGAGAGGGAGTTAATAGTCCCGTGTGTGCGCGGGCGCGTCCTTTCTGCGTTTAGGTGCCGGCTCGACGGTGAAATCGGTTTAGGGGGAGATGCCACGGACATTGATAGTCTGCTCGCCGGCGGCGAGGATAGGATAGCGCCGTGTACGCCGATAACGATCTCCCCGCAGGACGATTATTTACAATTCCAGCCACCCACTCTCGGCCCGGGCGGTGCTTCAATTTTTGTCGCCGCGGCGGACGGTCGGCCGGCGCTGTCGGAGCGAGCTTAAAGCTCGGCTTTTATCGGAGAGCGGCGAGACGCAGGCTCCTCGCGGTCGTAAAATAGCCCGGAGGGCCGAGCGAGCGAGCGAGCGAACGAGTAGTGTTAAAGAGGCGCTCGGCGGAGGACCGTTTACCTAATAATAGCAATAATATGTAAATGCGATGCGTATCGAGCCGCCATCGAAAGAACGCGCCGCGCGCTACGGCACCATTGTTTGCAAATCCCAGACTGAGCGAGCGATCCGGCGAGACCGGCAACGCGCGGTCGCGGCCGGGGTTGCTTCTTCTTCTTCTTCGTCTTCTTCGTTTTCTTCTTCTTCTTCTTCTTCATCTTCTCCTCTTCCTCCTTCTTCTTCTTCTTCTTCTTCGTTCAATGTGATTTTCTTCTTACGAGCGCGCGATATCGGCTCGCGACGATGCACGCGAACGCGACGTAATTGACGAGAGGATGTCAAAAGTACCAGCTGGTTCGTTATTATTGATATAATTGGGGAAAAAGAAGGAGAGACATCCGTGCAACGTTTATGAATGA